ACCGTCTAGAAAGTGGGATCATAACTTTCACGTTTCATATGGCTTTATTTGGTGATATTTTATGGTGTTTCTGTGTCATAAACAACATCAGCTATCATAATCACACCTGATTTCAATAAGGTACAATGTTTGAAGCTGGCTGAGTGTTGTTTGATCACTGATAGGACTGTTTTGAAGCAGAGTGAGTGCTCTGTCATTTGGAGCTCCGCCTGGATCTTTTCATGGTAAAAACACTGTAGAATGGTCATACTTTGAGCAGTCTTCTTCAAATTTGAAACAAGTGTTCATTGATAGTGTACCTACAGCCCCACAGTGTCATTTACCTGCTCAGATGAAGCCACAGACAGTTATTCATCCTGAAACACATTTTTTATTTTATTTTAGGCAAAACCTTCAACTTTTTACTGACTTCAGAGGCCCATTACTCTGTGTCTGTATCACCTAGAGTGTTTCTGACACTTTCACAAGAAACTTCAGAGAGTTTTCTTTCTGGCAAGACCTCATGCATGCATGTAGTCAGAGCGGTTCAGAAGCTACAGTCATTTTAATTTGGGCATGTCATTTTAGGTGTTTTTGCTACAGAATGGGGGTGGAGTGCAAGAGTTAAATCTACTCGATTTATTAGACACTGAATCAAGTGGGCCACTTCAAAAAATGACTGAACCCAGATCTGGAGCACTCGATAAAATTGCAGAGCTTTTAATAAGGTGCAAACCACTCGATTTATTCTTGAGTCCAAGTGGCCGTTTGTGCCAAATATGTATAATTATTATTCTTACATACATGTACTGTCATATTAATGTTTACAAATAATATATATACAGTCTTTAACTATTTATATTATTCATATTTTATTACTACATATTCTACAGTTACATTTATTGTTATTATTGTTGTTGTTGTTGTGCATCCGTCTGTCTCTCTGGATGTCTCTATTTATCATTGTGTCATATGAATCACTGTAAATTCATTATGTTGACGTGTTCTGTACACACAGCATCTATGGCACGTCTGTCCGTCCAGGCAGAGGGCTCCCTCCACAGTTTCTCTTCCTGAGGTTTCCTACATATTTGAATCCAATCGACACAACGTGGTGCACACAACTGTTTCTACAACTGTTGTACAGCTTTAGCATTACTACTGTGGCCATCATGTCTCTGTGTGCACAAAAGCAAAACAGGCTGAAACAATTATCAAAGTATAATAGCAACACAATGCACAGAACAGTAAAAAGATACAACATCATTAAAGACAACAGGCACATCTGTTGTGTGTCTGCTAATACTAACAGCCTACATTTAAAATCAGATTTTTACATGTCACACGAATTTTAGACAGTTTCAGGCCGTATATCAAAGGGTTAAAGAGTGGAGGACATGTGAGAAAATACAAGGATAAAAAGATGCGCAACACATTGGGAACACCAGTCATATTAAACCTGTTCTGAACTATTTCAAAGCAAGCAGCAACAGAAAAGTTGAGCAGAGAGGCGAGGTGAGGTGTGCAGGTACTGACAGCTTTCTGTCTCGTCTGTTTAGAGCCAGAAAAACAAACTTTAAGGATCTTTATCCTTATGACCTTGACTTTGACCTTTGACCAAAATCTGATCAGTTCATTCTTGTGTCCAAGAGGAGATTCATGCCAAATTTCAATAAATTCCCTGAAGGGGAAGGACAAAGATATCGTTTTCAGAGAATAGGGCAAACCAGGTCACAGTGACCTTGACCTTTGGTCAACAAAATCTTTCCAGTTCATTTCCAGTCCAAGTGAACCAGTCTGCCAAATTTAAAGAAATTAAGAAAGATAGTGAGGACATGTGGAAAAATCTGTAAATTGGCAGGTTGCTGCCAGTGTGTGAGAGTGTGAGTGTGAACAATCAAAGACAAAATGGCTGACAACAAAGACTACAAATGTGTTGGCTAGATCAAAGATGGCCTCAGAGTGGGGGTGGTTCTGTCCGACCACATGTGGTCAGTCAGGGACAAAGAAACAATGGAAACCTGTGAAGCGGGAACTATGTTGAGAGCCAAATAACAGCATATGTGTATGTGATCTATGTTGTGAAAAGGTGTTGGGTAGTAGAAAGGATTTTAAGTTGCGTGTGAGACTCTGTCTGTGCAAAGCACTAGCAAACTAACATCAACTTAGCTTTGGCAAGGGGTGCTGGAGGCTTAGTGGTAGAGCAGGCGCCCCATGTACAAGGCTGTTGCCGCAGCGGCCCGGGTTCAACTCCAGCCTGTGGCCCTTTGCTGCATCTCACTCCCTCTCTCTCTCCTCCTTTCATGCTTGTCTGTCCTATCAAATAAAGGCTAAAAATGCCCCAAAAAATATCTTTTAAAAAAAACTTAGCTTTGGCAAAGCCAGCTAACCAGTAACCTGACTACAAAGAGATCACAACAATAAACTCATTAAAACATTAAAATCAAAACATGTTACACATATAGTGACAAAAGTTAACAGTCTTGCTTAGCCTGTACTACTGTGCTAATGTGATGACTCGTTACGTTACCAGTCCGTGAATGGAGGGAAGAGTTCATTGTTGTTGTGTTGTTTGTTAGCTGGATGAGCAAAGCTGAAAGAAGTGTGGCTCCTGATGCAATCCAGCTGTGTTGTGCTCCAGTAGTGCAGAGGAATCTGTTCACTGTGTGTCCGTACAGAGTTAGCAGTTTGGTGCTAACTCTGTACAATGGTATCTTTGTTTTCTGACATTAGTTCAACATCAGTGAGAATCAGTGGCACCTTAGCCTGCTCAGATCCCCCGTCCCTTCCAATGGACATAACCTTTCTAGGATGTCTAGATCTATGATTTCTGTCATCTAACTCCACTCAAATGGACAGACTTATTTGATGGGATGTCTATAAACCAATCACAGCCTTCCACATCATCTTTTTTAACAAGCAAGGTCAACTGTTAGGCAGGGAGGAAGCGCAAGGCACATTGCAGTTTATGTATCATATTATTAAAGTACAAAATTTGTGTTTAAACTGTATGTAAAGTAAACATGCGATGTTATTTTACTTTTACATTTAAAAAAAAATCATGTGAAATATTTATAGATTTTAATCAGGATTTTTTTCAAAAATATCTGCCCTTTGGACCCAAGTGTCCCCAGAAAATGAAAAACTGTTTAAACAGGGAAATACTGTTCTGAATTGATTTTGTAATGACACCATCAGCGTATATAGTATTTTACTGATTCTGTACACTCATGAGGAGGTTTGTTTAAAAAACGTCTGCTGAGACCATTTACAGTCGTTTTTCCTGTTGGGTGATTTATGCTTTAAGTATCTTCGTCCATTGGAATGGAAAGGAAAAAAAAAACATTTGTTAAGTAATTAGTAATGAGTTCAGTGTTTTGCTGGCATTAATTAAATGTGAGTATGAATCAGTGTGTCCTTTTATAATGAGGTCACTCTGCTGCTGTGGGTGACCTCTGTCTGGAAAAGTTTAAGAGGAGTCAAAGCAGAGTTTCAGCTCAGTGAGGAGGGACTCTCAGTATGACTGCAGCAGGTGAAGGCTCACATTGACACAATGTCACAAAAGTGTTTTCTTCTAATTTCTGACCAAAGGATTTCATTGACTCTGAAATTGAAACGATACATCTGGGGTTGGTTGATAACATTTTTCTTGTCACAATGGATGTGTTTATATGTGCTTCATGTTTAAGCTGCACATTGTGCCAAACAACCAGACTCACTGTAACTACCAGTTGAATCTACAACATTTTAACAACTCTGTTGCTTTGTGTGCACAGTAGAGTTGTGGTGAAGCAGGAGGAGGCTCATGACTAACTCTACACAAATTTCATATTTCATGTTTGCTGCCTACTTTGACACTGGACTGTTTAAACACTTATGTTTCTTGATTGTCATGTTCCTATACATGTTGATTCTTTGCTCCAACCTCCTGCTGATTGTGGTTATCTGTGTGAACAGAAGCTTACATGAACCTATGTACATGTTTCTGTGCAGCCTGTTTGTAAATGAACTATATGGTAGTACAGGGTTGTTTCCATTGCTGCTGCTTCAGATCCTCTCTGACATTCACACTGTCTCTGCTTCATTCTGTTACCTGCAGATTTTCTGTGTGTACACATATGGAAACATAGAATTTTTAAACTTAGCCGTCATGTCTTATGACAGATATCTTGCCATCTGTTATCCTCTACAATATAACACACGTATGACAGCAAAAAAAGTTGTTGTTCTTATTGCTCTGATATGGTTACTCACATTTTTTGTAAATATTTTCACATTAACTTTGATTGTGCCTTTACAGCTGTGTGGGAACATCATTAACAAAGTGTACTGTGACAATCACTCTGTAGTGAAACTGGCCTGCTCTGACACAACCATCAATAACATTTATGGACTCATTGTTACTTCTTTATCAGTTTTCTGTCCTCTGTTTTTAATCTGTTACACGTATATAAAGATCTTTAAAGTTTGTTTTTCTGGTTCTAAACAGACGAGACAGAAAGCTGTCAGTACCTGCACACCTCACCTCGCCTCTCTGCTCAACTTTTCTTTTGGTGCTTGCTTTGAAATAATACAGAGCAGGTTTAAGATGACTGTTGTTCCCAATATGTTGCGCATTTTTTTGTCATTATACTTTCTCACATGCCCGCCGCTCTTTAACCCTATGATGTACGGCCTGAAACTGTCTAAAATCCGTGTCTTATGTAAAGGTATGATATATTTTAACTGGAACAAATCGTAGGTCACATATCAGCCCAATCTCGCCTCTGTTTGTTGGTTGCCAGTGAACTTCAGATTTGATTTTAAGGTTCTTTTAATAATTTTTAAAGCTCAATGTGGTTTGGCTCCCAGTTATATAGCTGAGCATTTGACTCTGTGTGCTGCAAGTCATGCACTTAGATCCTAAAGCCTGCCCTCACTAGTTGCTGGGCTGTTGCCATCAAGGCCCAAGGCTCTGGAATTCTCTGCCTGAGTAAATCAGTCTTGCAAGCACGTTACTTGTTTGTTTTATATCCTTTTGTTCTGTTTTTGCACATGATTTGTCTTCGCTCTTAACATTGTTTTTAATTATTGTAATCTCTATTTTTATTAGGCTAATTGTTGTTCTTATTATCCTTGTTTTATTTTCATACACTGTGTGAAACACTTTGTGACCTTGTTTAGATAAGTGCTTCACAAATGAAGTTATTATTGTGTTATAAAAATGTATTCTCTTTCAGTGTGAAGAAATAAACACATCTACTGAACTGTAAATAACCTGTTAATCTGCTAATCTATTAATACTAATAGCAATGCAACACTTTTGAAAACATTGGTGGGCACCATGATTACAGATCAGCTGCCTTGAAAAGAGACTGAGTAAATATAATTCACAGGCTGATGGTGCCCGGCCGTGTGTCATATTGACATGAAAGGACGGCTTTTTTCGTCAGTGTCTGACACGGAAGTTACTGCCCAAGCGCCAATATTCAGCAACTTGGGAATGCAAAAAAGCATTCATGGAATCAGTTAATTTCCCTTTGTTTCCTGAATCAGCTAACACTTTCACTAAGCTAACACACAACTGTAAAGAATTTAGTGAATTCACATCTACAATCCATAATATTATCAAAATATTTCGAGAATCTGGAGAAATCTCTGTATGTAAGGGACAAGGCTGAAAACCAACACTGAATGACCTTTGACCCCTCAGACTGCACTGCATTAAAAAACAGCTTAACTGTATAAAGGACATTACTACGTGGGCTCAGGAACACTTTGGAAACCACTGTCAGTAAACACATGGCTGCATCTACCAATGACAGTTCAGACTCTACCATGCAAAGTGAAAGACAGATATCAGAGCCAGGTCTCACTCTCACTTGGGCAGTGACTTGCAGTGTCATAAACCAACAAAAAAGGCATCCTTTAACACTGGCATGACACGCAGCCAGTTGTTGTTATAGTTTAATGGTGCGTGGCGGCCTCAGGGGGAAACGCAGCAGGACAAGGACGAAAGTTAAGTCGGTAAAAAGTCCAAGTGGAGTAGGCAGGAGGGGTGGTAAATCAACAGCTCACGGCATTCACTGCTTTTCTCACCAGTCATAGTTAACTCACAGACATTAGGGTTGATTAACCAGGTAAAGTGACCCAGACCTTTAGAGGGCCTGAAGATCGGATGTTTGACAGTAGGGAGACATCTTCCAATCCGCTCCTGTTTTCAGCTGCTTCACCTTATAATATTATAATTCTGACTAAACATAAAGGTGACTAAATGTTTAATGTGATTGATAATTTATTGGCAAGATGAAATGTTTTATAAATTAATTAGAACCAGTGGCTTTGGAGGGTGGACATCAATCTAAAAATTGGTGATGATTTGGAAAATGATCAGTGGGGACAGAAGTAAACTGTATCTGTGCTTATTTGGATAAAACATGAAAAAGAACTGTAAACTGTTGTAAGTTTTCCTCCTTCCTTCTTTCACTTTCTCATCTTTTTAATCTGCCAATTATACATCAGTGTGACAGCTGCCACAGGAACACATCATAAAATAAAACATTACTTTTTCCTGTGGTCACTACACAGGAGCATAAACACCCAGAGCGAAGGCCTGAAGCAGCTGTGTGTTCAGCAGTAACCATGGTTACAGCAGTCTCCTCCCATGATTTCCCATGATGCACAGTGTGCTAATTGGCCTGTTGTGGAGCTGCTTAGAGCCTCCAGAGTGTCCAAGTGTCCACAGATGCCTCTGGGGTCTGGTGTTGTTTCTCCTCCCGGGCTCATTACCGTCAGATGAAACAGTAAACATGATGAAATCACACACCAGAGTCCCCACTGCCCACTCTCTGTCCACCAAACATCACACAAACAAGGACAATGAATCCATCTATGACCTTCACTGACCTTGAACAGGTCGACGTCATGTGTTAGCGCTGTGGTTCAGGTCCTTGTTTCCTGTAAACTGTTGATGTCTGAGCTTCTTGAGTTCAGATATTTCCAAAAAAGTTTGGTTTTTGATGCAGAGACACAGAAGACACGAGAGCCTCCTGCTGAATGAGCTGCAGATATTTTAACCCTTTATTGAAATAAAGGAAAATAACAGCACAAGTATGTTCACAAGTTACTTTTAAGGCTCTTCATTTTCTCTCTCCCAACTCTATGTCAGACCTCTTAATTCTGTACATGTTGGTACGTACTCTGAGATCCTCGGGAGCAGAGGTCCTCTGTCTTTTACAGAGGCCCGGCTGAGAACTAAAGAGGACAGAGTGTTTGCAGTCAGGACTCGAGGCTCTGGATTGATCTGCACAAGGAAATCAGGTCAGCCGAGTCCATTACTACAGTATCCAAAATAAAACAGAAGAAATGAGAGAAACTAGCACAACTAAAAAAGAGGAAGATATAATTTCAATGATGAGATTTGGACACACTGGTCTGAATAGTGCACTTAGGTTAATTGGTAAAAATGAAACAGGCATGTTTGAATATTGTAACATGCAGGAGACAGTAGAGCGTGTTATAATGAATTGTCCAAAGTATTGGCAGGAAAGACGCATCAAACTGGAACTAAAGGAAATGCTACAGTTGAACTCAGGGCATGTAGGTTATAGGGCAATATTTACATTTTTGGAGAACACAGGGATAAGTATATAATGTAGGCATGAGGCCTCTCCAATCCACACTCCATTTCAGGAGGTGGTAGTAATGCACCTAAAAGCTGTTTGCCAACCGACTTTAAACATCAGAAGAAGAAGAAGAAGAAGAAGAAGAAGAAGAAGTAGGTCGGCCGAGTCACTGATATCTTTTAAGTCCCTTCTTAAAGCATACTTTTATCTGACAGTCTTTCCTGATTTACTTGAGTTCTAATATCCTACAAACCAGTGGTGGCTGCTGGTCTTTCAAACAGGGGAAGCTCACTTTAAGTTTACATCATAACATGTGTCATATTGTAGCGAGGCAGTAACTTATAAAAGGAACTTTTCATTGAAGCAGTTTTTCAACCACACTCATGCCACAGAACCACAGCAACACACACCTCAGAGATTTTTTAATCACCTCAAAGATGGGTTTAAACACATGAACTGTACAAACAGTGAAAATGAGCTATATGGCTTATGAAAATAAGGAACTCCGGATGGCACTCTGTCAGAAGACTCCACTCGCAAATATCCGCATGGGACTGAGCTCGATGGCGGTGTGTACATCAAAAGCGCTGTCAATCACAAAGGGGTTCAGCCTTTTAGACAATTCCTCCAATCAGCAGGCAGACACTGAGCATCCTCTCCCGCCTACCGCTCCATCAGGTCCCAGGGAAGCTGAGCCTCCCTGGAAGTGACGATTTTGTTGCATTTATCCAATGAGCGTTGTTGTGGTTTCCTAGATATACTGTTATAGTATAGCTTGACTCCCGAATGCAGGGTGAGTATATGTTCCTATGATACTCATATAATTACCAGGACACGGAGACGTATAACGGTAGCCTTTACTGGTAGCCATGTCAACGACCACAGACACGAGCAATCGAGCCCTGATCAAATACAGTACAGGTGAACATAGTCGAGTACCGAGTGCTCGATCAAGATATATCACAAGTGTCTCGCTTTGCTGCAAAAAACCTGCTCAGCGCTGTCTCATAGGAATGCTTGGAGGCTCCACGTCCACCTTGCTGATACAAGAATGTATGACAGGGAGGTCGCGTTTGAAAACTGGTGATAAACAGCTGACATTTGAACATCATAGTCATGATGTGAAACGCATCCTAGCGCATGTTTAATGCAATGTAAATTCTTATTTTAATGTAAATTCAATAGTGCATATTTGACCATTTCTTCTATGAAATTTTAGGGGAAGTTCAGCCTCCCTTGTTGTGTCAGAGCAATCGCCCCTGCTACAAATTGTCTTTTATTTTCTTGGTTTTCTACAAATTTGTGCCATATTTGAGGAATTCCCTCAAGGCCCTCTTGAGGTATTGCATTCATAGAATGAGATGGACACAAGGTCACAGTGACCCTGTCCTTTAACCACCAAATTCTAATCAGTTCATTCTTAAGGCCAAGTGGACATTTGTGCCAAATTTGAGGAGTGCCCTTAAGGTGTTCTTGAGATATCGCATTCACACATTCATGGTGTTCTCTTCCTGTAAGATTGTAAAGCCAAACCCTGTTCTTTTTTCCTAAACGTAATCACATGTGTGTGTTGGCTAAATGTAACCACGTGTGTGTGTGTTGACTAAACGTAACCATGGGTGTGTTGTTGGCTAAACGTAACCACGTGTGTGTGTGTTGACTAAACATAACCGTGGGTGTGTTGTTGGCTAAACGTAACCACGTGTGTGTGTGTTGACTAAACGTAACCATGGGTGTGTGTGTTGGCTAAACGTAACCACATGCGTGTGTTGGCTAAACGTAACCACG